GATTGATATGACTTATGACCTTTTTTAATATAGTAAGAATCATAGTAAAGATTTTTTTCATTAGTATTTAATATGACTGGATGATTATGACCAAAAGTCATATAATTATATAACCAAGGTCATATAGAAAAAAAAATGGTATGACATAGTCATCGGCTAACACTGGTCTCCTCAGCAAAACTGCATTCAAACATTCGTCGATGAACTATTCCATCTTTATCAACTTCGACTCGTTTATGGCATATACAAAATCTAGCTGATCTTGCATATTGTTTAATTTATATTTCAGCCATATCCCATGAAATAAATGTGTTGCCAATATTAAGATGAACAGTTTCTTCTAATTCAGGTTCTATATCTATACTTTCTTGAGATTCTACACCTATATCATCTTGAAATTCTACACCCATATTGTCTTGAAATTTTACACCTATACTTTCTTAAGATTCTATATCCATATCATCTTGAAATTCTACACCTATATCGTCTTGAAATTCCACACCCATACTGTCTTGAAATTCTACACCTATACTTTCTTGAGATTCTACATCTATACCATCTTGAAATTCTACACCTATAATTTCTTGAGATTCTATACCCATACCATCTTGAAATTCTATACTCATATGTTTTTGAGAATTTATGCCCATACTTTTTTGAAGTTCTACATAGAAATATTGATTATAAAATAGTTCTCTAAAGTTATTGCTGCACTCTACTGCATTGATATTATTAGAGAAATGCGGAATATGCGTTTAAAGATTTTTTATAAGATTATCGTTATTAGTATCATTAGGAAATACAGATATATTAGCTTGAAGTTCCTTATAGGAAAAACCTAAATAAATTTAGAATCAAGATGGAATAAATAAAATAATTGTGGGTTGAGAAAAACCAAACCAACAAACTACTTACTTTCCATCATCAGATTTATTAATTGATGTGCTTAAAAAAAAGGTCACTGGAAACAAAAGGCCATGAAAAGAAAAGAAATCGTCAAAAAAAAGATTACTAAAAAAAAGATATTGTTGATAAAAAAGGCCATTAAGAAAAAAAAACTGCTAAAAAAAAGAGTTATAAAAAAAAAGAGATCTTAAAAAAAAAAGGTTGTTGAGGCACAAGTAGCTACTGAAAAAGATATATCACTAAAAAATAATCACAAGGTCTCCGAAAAAGAGGTTGCAAAAAAAAAAAAAACTCTGAAAAGAATGATCGTTGAACAAGAGATTGCTGAAAAGAGATTATTAAAAAAAAGATCGCTAATGATAAATATATGATATGATTACGTAAGTACATAAGTGTAAAAAGTATAAGTATAAGCATAAGTAAGTGTAAAAGTCACTTGTTATTGAATGCATGTAAACAAAGTGCGAAGTTCTAATTAT